ATGTTGGGAATTAGGGTTTCAACCTGTGGATTTTGTTGAGACACAAACATTCAGTCCAGAGCACACTGTCTCAGCATTGAGAAATAAGTGTTTGAAGAGGAAGGAAGGAAGAAGAAGAGAGAAAAGGAAAGAAAGGACTAAGGGGAACCACGCAAGAACCTTTTTTCTACCACCTTCTCACCCATACCAGCTCCTTGCAGCTCCTAACCTCACCTATCRAGGGCTTCAGAATGGAGAGCAATCTTGGGTGGAGACCAGAAGCTGCGGCCTGGCGCTCAGGGGCCTGCTTTAAGGAAAGGGCTGCACACTGCATGGTCTCTGTCCCTGAAGTGAGCATAGCCTTTGTGAGGGGACCAGCACCCAGGAGAGGGACATCCTCTGGTGATGGCCAACAGAGAAGAGGGGGCCAAAGTACCAGCTTTGGGGAGAAGCATAACTACAGGTGGCCCCAGGACYTGAGCTCAGTGGAAAGCACTGATCATCCTGCATTTTGGAGACCTGCCTTCACTTGGCAGGGACAGAAGAGACTGACAGAAGGAGATCACCCCAACCCATGTTGATGGTAGTCCCAAACTCTGCCTCAGCACCATCTGCCAAAGCCCCTTTTAGAAAGCAGCAGCTCATGTGGCTGGATGCCTGGCTTACACAGAGATTTGAAAACAGTCCCATGAGCTTCAAAGAAGGGATGAGATRCTGATAGTGAATAAGTAAGGGTGCAGAAAGTTAGAAAGCAAGGGTTAAATATCTCGAGATTTCTTAGGGAATTCATGCCTCTTCATGTAAAGTAAGYAGAGAAGGAAAAGAGAAAACTGTCCCACCACAGTCAAGGTGCTGACCATCTCCTCTGAACCTCCACAGAAATTCCCTACAATGTTTACATAATCATGGATCATTTTCCAAAAGTTTTATACCAAAGCACAACTTCCTTGTTTTTATGAAAAGCTCATAGTAATACAGTTTGGATGAATTGAGACCTGTGATGATATTTCTTTTCTCTGGTCAATATAACTTCCTGTGTTCCAACTTCACATACAGCATCACTGAGGAACTCAGAAGAGTCACATAGCAAATAGCGTAAACCAGTTCCACAATTTGAAGAGCCCTGGGGGGAAGGGAAAGGATATGGTTTTAGCTGTGCCAATGGAGTGTCTCAGGCAGAGCCTCAGGGGGGAGCTTCATTCCAGATGCTTCAGAGAGGAGGACCAGAACTAGTGAGTGTGAGTTACAYACCAGCAAGTTTCAGCTCAGGACAGGAGAGGACTTTCTGCTGAACAGGATGCCCTGTGGGTTGGCAAGCACACCATTCCCACTGGAAGTGTTCGGATCAAGGCCAGATGGCCATCAGCAAAAAACAGGAAGGTAAAGTGAGATTTTTCAATCAGCTCCCATGTTCTACCCTTGCCAGGGATGCAGGATGAAGATTAGGGGGAGGTGGGATGTATGTGTGGCTGTCTTTCTAAGAGGATCTTCAAAGTCCAAGTTGCTGCCCTCCATCAGCCCAGGTGTCTCACTCCCCTGGTCCTTCATTTTCCCCAGCTCCCTGAGCCATTCTGAGCSCACAGAAACTTAGTTCTTAGATCTGACCACCACTTGGATCTTGATTTTCAAYTGGCCTTTTTCACTACCTAGTGGTGGTAATCTGAGATTTTGAGAATGATTCTGTGCAGCTTCTTTTCAAGTTAATTCATGATTCTGTAGCTCCTAGATTTTTGCTTTCCCAATTATGATCCTTCCATACCACATTTTTTTCATACTGAAACTAATTTGTCATCTTGATAAATTTTACTGTCCTTTCTTGGGTCTCTTTCTTAGAACTCTTTTTTTATCTTCTTGAAGCAGAATGCGGCTTAGTACCTCACACATTSCCCAATTGTGTGCATATTTACTCTATGGGAAACAGTATAATATATATTTTTAAAATGYATTAATGGGGTGGGGGTTGTGGCTCAGTGGTAGCTTGCTAGCCTAGCATGTGCAAGGCCCTTTTTCAATTCTTAGCACCACATAAAAAATAAGTAAACAAAATAAAGTATTGTAACCAACTACAACTAAAAAATAAATATTAAAAATTGCATTAATGTAGGACAGAGAAAATCCAGGATCTTCTACAACTAGATGGACTGTGTRACTTTGGGGAAGTTATTTACCAGCTCATTTGTGCATTAATTTCCATGTTTGCAAAATGGAGAGAGAAGCATGTCCTGCAAACATTTATGAAGACAAACAGTTTAGTATTTAATAGCTCGACATACTGCTTTGCATACAGTAGGGGCTGAATAAGAGATGGAAGATAAACTGAAAGCTCCCATCTTAATTATAATATCTTCTTAATTTTATAAGACATATTTAATGAAATATGTCAATTCTTTCAAAGGAATACTTTTCAAACCTCCCTCTAAGACTCAAGTTTGAGTTATTTGGTTCCTATTCATTTAAATCAATCTTTTTTAAACCACAACTCTTATTGAGTAGCTTTAAGAACATTGAACTCACACATCCTAAACATAAACTCAAAGCCTCATGTCTTTACAAACGTAAGTGGATATGTGTGAGATGTACATAGAATTAGCCCACTATCTTCTTTTTAATGTTCAGACAGTCYTGGCACCTTCGAGAAGCAAGAGCTACAGCGAGAAAAGTGGGAGAGGAACAACATGCCAAGCAGAAGCCTCTCTCGACGCTCCATCAGCAAAGAGAGATGGGTGGAGACACTGGTGGTGGCTGACACAAAGATGATCGAATACCATGGGAGTGAAAACGTGGAGTCCTACATCCTCACCATCATGAACATGGTACACCTGACTGTATGAGGTGGGGTGGGGGGCAGCTGGTGAAGAGATGCCATTAGAAGAGCCCTCCTACCCATCAAAGAAAGAGGTCCTTTTAACCTGCACAGATAGATGGAGATACGTGTGTGTGTGTGTGTGTGTGTGTGTGTGTGTGTGTGGTGTGTGTGTGTGTTTCCCCCTATCTAAGTGAATACAGATGGAGATTTAGGACAAATTAGTGTTTCCCTTAAAAGCATATATGCTGGGGAAAATGTGATTTATCATTGTATATTTTTATTAGGTACATAGCAAGCATTTCAAYCCTTTTGGTATGACTTTGTCTTATCCATCATTTATGTAGTTATATAAATTAGTAAATTGAACAAAGAATTAGAGTGTGATTTTCTCAAAGTAGTTATAGCTASAATTGGAATAAAGTTATACTGCAATTCCTAATTTTAAGCTTCCCTTTGCCTTATGGGTGTGTTCTGCCTTTCTGTTAATAAGGGGAAAGGTATTTGCATGAGTAACTAATAATGAAAGTGGGGAAGACCCTAGGAAAGGGAATGGTCAAAGAAAAGAAAGGGATCAATGTCTCAAGCACATAGTCAGTCAATCATCCAGAAAGATTATCTTTAAATATCTCAATGTGGGTGGAACTGTTGGCATATCTTACTTTTCTTTGTTCTATATCAAGAATGTGTGACCTATAATATGATGTGAATTCAATGGCATTKCAGTGATGTTTTTCCCCTGCAGCATAGATACATATTACCTATCCATGTGGAGCTAACAGTTTTCCATTTCTGACTCCAGGTCACTGGGTTGTTCCATAATCCAAGTATTGGTAATGCAGTTCACATCGTTGTGGTTCGGCTCATTCTCCTTGAAGAAGAAGAGGTAAGGAATAGTTTCCGCTTTACTCCTCTCTGTAACTGTACACTTTCTAACTCCTTTTTCAAAAGGGTTCTTGATAAATAAGAGGTTTCCAGATAGGTGTTTGGAAGCTCATAGAAGAAGGACCATAGTTTTGTGTTATTTTCTTGAGTACAGCAATATTGAAGGCGAGATGGATGTCATTTCCAAAATGTACATAGTTGGAATCACCTGACTGCCACTACATTTAGTTATACACAAACCAGGCCTACAGCACRTACTAAGCCAAGGAACTGAATATACTCCTCAGAAGAGGATATACAATCARTCAACAAATATATGAAAGAAAATGTGCAACATCTCTAGCAATTAGAGAAATGCAAATCAAAACTACTCTAAGATTTCATCTCACTCCAGTCAGAATGGCAGCTATCAAGAATACAAATAACAATAAGTGTYGGTGAGGATGTGGGGAAAGATGCACACTCATACATTGCTGGTGGGTCTGAAAATTGATGCAACCAATCTGGAAAGCAGTATAGAGATTCCTTGGAAAACTTGGAATGGAACCACCATTTGACCCAGCTATCCCACTCCTTGGTTTATACCCAAAGGACTTAAAAGCAGCATACTACAGGAATACAGCCACATCAATGTTTATAGCAGCACAGTTCACAATAGTTAAATTGTAGAACCAAYCTAGATGCCCTTCAGTAGATGAATGGATAGGAAAACTTTGGTATATATACACAATGAACATTACTCAGCATTAAAAGAGAATAAAATCATGGCATTTTCAGGTAAATGGATGGATTTGAAGAATATAATGCTAAAGTGAAGGGGCTGGGGATGTGGCTCAGGCGGTAGCGTGCTCGCCTGGCATGCGTGCGGCCTGGGTTCGATCCTCAGCACCACATACAAACAAAGATGTTGTGTCCACCGAAAACTAAAAAATAAATATTAAAATTCTCTCTCTCTCTCTTTAAAAAAAAATAATAATGCTAAAGTGAAGTAAACACATCCCCAAAAAACCAAAGGCTAAATATTTTCTTTGATATAAGGATGCTAATTCATAATGGCGATGATGGGGGGAAATCATGAGAGGAATGGAGAAATTTTAGATAGGGCAAAGGGGAGGGAGGGGAAGGGAAGAGGTAAGGGGGTTGGAATGATGGTGGAATGAGTTAGACATCATTACCCTAAATACATGTATAAATACACGAAGGATGTGACTCTACTTTATGTACAACCAGAGATATGAAAAATTGTGCTCTATATGTGTAATATGGAATGAATTGCACTCTACCATAATATATAACAAATTAGAATAAATAAATAATAAAAAAAGAAACAGTGGACAGAGGGGGAAAATGTATCTGGGGGGACAAACTATATAGGTGATTGGTTTCAATAAAAGGTGAGACRTGAAAATGTTAAGCCTTTTATACCACTAATTAATGAACCGTGGCTCTTTAACACAATTCTCTCAGATTTGGACTCTTCTGAACTTCTACCTTTCATCTATTCTCAGAAACTTACTTATCCACATGCTGAGACTCCTAATGGGTACCAGAAGTCCAGAGCTCTTCCTTGAGGTCCCTACTCATATCTAATTGCTTACTTGACATCTCAACCTGCATGTGCCTTAGTCCATTTAATCATGGAAACTTAATAAGTCAACAATGGAAATTTTGATTATTTCTTGCCCCCAATACCTCAATTTTTCTTCCCTCCACTTCCTAAACCACCATCTTATCCATCTCTGTGGATCCTATCCATCTTTGTATATGTACCAAATTGCTAAGTGTAGGAGTCATTCTTGATTTCTCTTTTTCATATCTGCCAAATCCAACAGCAAGGCCCTTAGTGGTTCTTCCTCTGAAGTACATCTAGCCACCCACTGCTCATCATCTCTCCAGTCATCACTTTGGTTTAGGCCTTATCATATCAAGGTATGGGCTACTCGAGTGAACTTCAAAGTGGTTTTCCCATTTCCAGCCTTGCCTCCATAATCCATTCTGCATAGATCATCATTTTAACTACAGCTACAGTTGATCATTTTAAATACGACTGCCAAAATCCCTTTAATGACGCTCTATTTTTTTTTTTTTAGCACAAATTCAAGTTCTCTTCCTGCAGAGGCTTTCGTGATTTTGCCTCCATCCACCTCTCTAGACTTCCTTGTGTTACTTCCTTCCTTGCTTCCTACCCTCCTGCTCTCTGGACTCAGGTTCCAAACACACTAGGTGCTTTGCAGCCTCATGGCCTGTGCACTAGTAGTTCCCAGTGTCTGAAATATCCCATCCAGGTTCTGCTCATCCCTCAGGCCTCAGTTAAAATGCTGTCTCGCCTCTTCAGAGAGGTCTCAGTCACCTCTCTCAAAGTTGGCCCCTCTTACCGTTCTCCATCACAGAATGATAGCACTCTCCCAACACATTATTATTCTGTGTACCTTTTGACTCCCACCTTAATTATCTCAGCCACCATCAGAATATGAATTACACAGTGCAAAAAAAAAATGTGTTTCTTTATTTTGTTACATCCCCAGCACCTAATACCATGTCTGGGGCATGAATAATGAATGAAGTGAAATTTAATGAACTAACAATCCAGTCAGCCTGAAAAAAAAATGTCTTTGAAATCTATAGATCCTAATTCATGGCTGGTATATGTGAAATGGGACACCCATTCAAATCTGTTTCAGCAAGAGAGCTGTAGTCAGAATATCAAGGCAGGGCATATGGCTTTTTAAACAAGAGGGTCTCCACAATCAGTTAGTAGCTAGTTTAAATATGATCTCTGGAACCTGGATCTATTTTCTTTTTCTGCCCCACCAACCCTATATCTTTTCTTCATTCAAGACATATTTGGGGTTTCTTGGAATAACTACAGGTATAGTATTTCTCTTCCTGTGATCCTCTCATGAAGAAGATCTACCTAAGCCAGGAGTCATAGCACACACCTATAATCCCAGCAGCTCTGGATGCTGAGGCAGGAGGATTGTAAGTTCAAGACCAGCCCCAGYAATTAAGTGATGCTCTAAGCAATTTATCGAGACCCTGTCTCAAAATAAAAATAAAAAAGGCTGGTGCTATGGTTTAGATATGAGGTGTCCCCTCATATAGGAGACAGTGCAAGAAAGCTTAGAGGTAAAATGAGTGGGTTATCAGAACCTTAACCCAATCAGAGGGTTTATTCCCTGAAAGGATTAACTGGGCGGTGACTGTAGGCAGGTAGGGTGTGGGTTGGAGGAGGTGGGCCGCTGGGGGCGGCCTTTGGGATATTGATTTTGTCTTTGTTGAGCAGAGCTCTCTGCTTCCTGGTCATGTCCTGAGCCACTCTCCTCCACCATGCTCTTCTACCATGAGGCTCTGCTTCACCTCAAGCCCCAAGGAGTAGAGCCAGCTTTTATGGACTGAGACCTCTGAGACTGTGAGCCCCCAAATAAACTTTTCCTCCCCTAAAATTGTTCTTGTGGGGGACTGGCATTCACTCGGCACTCAAGGGCCAGCAGAGTGCACAGCAGACCCAGTGCGGGCCACAGCTTCCTCAGAATCTCCTTATGTTGCCCAGGCTGACCTCAAATTTGTGATCCTCAGCCTCCTGAGTCCCTGGGATTAYAGTTGCTTTTACCTGGTAATTCCTGAGGAAAACAGACTCAAGGGATGAGTGAACTGGAACAGCAGAGGCAGGAAGCAGAACTACAGAATCAGACCCAGATGGAACCCAGGGCCTGACACAGGCTAGGCAATACTCTGGCACTGAGCTCTCCCACAGCCTTTTAAGTTTTATTTTGATACAAAGTCTTGCTCAGTTGCTCAGGCTGACCTCAAACTTGGAATCCTCCTGCCTCACCCTCCCAAGTAACTGGAATTACAGATGTACACCACCACATCTGCCACATTTTCTTTCTTTCTTTCTTTCTTTCTTTCTTTCATTTTTTTTTTTTTTGCACAAAGATGTTAACATCAGATCTTCTATTTTCTTTTTTTCTTATTTTGTTTTGTGGCAAACAGCATGGAATTCTTTTATAAAAATTCAATTTTATATTGGATAGTAGTGTTCATAAGAATGAATTCTTTATGTAAGTAGATTATTTGAATTATGAAARTCTGCCTCTAACTTCTGCTGATAGTTGAATCCTTGTATTCTAACATGATGTTTTAATTTTTGGTACTGATTTTTAGTACAGTTTAATGAWTTTCATTTTCAGCCCTTAARCTATATTATTAATACTAATGTAAATGCTATGAGGGCAAAAAATTGTTGTCTCTGCTTTGTAAATGGTGATTATAAGTACCTAACATTYATCTGATTTTTTCACCAAATGATTGAATAAAGAAAGATGACCAATGATGGGTCATTTTCATAAAACTTGAAACCACAGAACCTTTTTTCAGAATTTAGACTTATACTATACCATTTTTGGAACATGGCTCAGGTTATCACTCATTTCCAGAAACTCTTCACTCTAGAAAATCATGCTAAATTATTCCTTGTTAAATGAGGTCTCTAAATCCCACAATGTGGCTAAGGATGAGAGAATCAAATCATATTTTTGTGCAACTRGTTGTGAAACACACTTACATAGAAATGGTCTGTTTATAAATAGATTGACAGGGCAGCCCAAATTACCAAATCTTTCATTTACTCTTTCTGAAAAGCCTTTGTTGTGTTTTATTCACTAAATATTTTGTGTCTTCTCTTTGCCTAAGAGTATACCAAGCACTATAGGCAAAAAATAATAGTAATAAAAATAAAGAGGATACTACCCTAACCTTTGCAGGGGGGTGGATTTCTTAAATCTAGCACATATATCAATTCTCTAAATTTGTTATTAACTGATAAACTTAGTTTAAAATGTCTTGCTGGAGCTGGGGTGTAGCTCAYTGGTTGAGTACAGGTTTAGCATATGGAAGGTCCTGGATTCAATCCTTAGCACCCAAATAAATCAAATGTTCTGATATTTTAAATAAATAAATAAATAAATTTAAAAAATTGATCTTATCATTCTTTTGGTCACA